CTAATAAACATTTTCTTAATTTGAGGAGAAAATAATGCAATAAATAATGAAAAGGAAATTCAAGCCAACTCATGATTCACTCATGCTCAATTCAAAAAAAGCGGCTATTTTGGCTCCAAAAATCCTCAATTTTTGATTGATGGAATCAGGGATTTAGGCCTAGGCTTACTTATGGATATTATCGAAATGGCATGCTTATGTTTGCCCGTTCAGATCTCCGCTTCTAGAACAGCAACTGTTCTAGAAAATTGTTTCATTGGAAAGTCAAGAATATCAGCTTTTGATTGCTATTTTACATAGCAATATGTAATGACTAAGCACCTTAAAACCCTTATTGATACTTATCGACCTCAAGACACGACTCCATGATCAAATCGGGGAATGGCCAATCAAATCAAATGAACCAGAGTACTGCAAACAATCAATAGAATATAATCAGACAAAGTTTTGTTTGATATATCTTTGACTTCTCCACCTCCATTGTGGCGTCTGATAATCTTGTGGACTTGAGCCAAAGAATTGATCGGATCCATAATGGATCCGTCCTAGCGGCGACGCGATCGCAGCCGTCGTGTCAGAGAGTTGTGACATAAAACCCGATGAGGACTAAAAAAATAGAGAATAAGAGCAAAATAAAGAACATAAATTTAGGGTCCTAGTACTAGTTTCCGAAAAGAATTGCTGATTTTTTTTAGTACCCAATCGGGAGCCGATTGATTGTGAGTCTTCTCGAGGGGAGACAAGAGAAGAGTTGAGCGATCGCTTACAAGTGATCCGCATGGGGTTTGATTTCGACTCTCTTCGATCTCCTGTTTGATTGGTCGAGGAGCGGAGGGGATGGGGGAGTGGAGGAAGCGCTTTGGTGGGCGCGTTGAGGCCATTCTTCGCCAAGATCTCCTCGAGTTCCTACAATTGAGTGCATAGAATGCGTATCTTTTATCTATCTTTATTTACTCGCTTAGTAGAATGGTTTAACGGGTATCTACGCTACTGGACAATGAAATCTCATGTTTTAGAAAAAGATCGTCACTTTCGCGCGTCTGTAACTCCCTTGTCTTTACCGTATTTCTAAATATTAATATTATCATTGTGTAGCCCTTGAAAAGAGCTTTCAGAAAATGTGTAACACTAATAGTTTAAACTGAAAGACAAGGGAGTTACAGACGCGCGAAAGTGACGCATTTTTCAAATATGATATTTCATTGTCCAGTACTGTAGCTGAAGAATCATTGAATTGAATGGTGAAGCCAATCCAAGCCAAGCCAAGCCAAGCCAAGCCAAGCCAAGCCAAGCCATTTCCCTCACTCACCCTGACTCGATCGGCGTATTGTTTCGCAGCGTTTTCCAATTTGTTTTGTTGTTGCTGTTGTTTAATCATGCTCTGAAAGCTCTTCTTTGCATAGAAGTTTTTTTCTTTTCACTTACATCTCGATCCTTTTGCAATTGTCGAATGTAGTCACAAGATGCTTTGAGAATCGTCCCTTTGTTTAACTTCATCTCTCTAAATTCGGCTCTAAAGAGAAAATGCCTGATAACGGGAAGTAAATATTTAGTGGCATTTTCTTGAAATTAGATTTCAACTCACTCGGAGGCTCCTTTAGGCAGCATAAGTCCTAATTCTTTGATTCGGTCGTTGATATTATAGCGACGACGGCGTTCAACTGAAAAACCTCGTGTAATAGCTAATAAAAACTTCTGATTTCATTGATAATTATGAATGAAATGAACTCACTCATATTGTGAATGTCCTTCTTTCTGCGATCGCGGTAGTGTTCCGGATCATCGGCACTGGGAACGGGTCCTTGCGACGAGCCACGTACCTGCAAACAATAATAATCATTTAGACCCATCAGATACCGTATTTACTCTAATAAACGCCCCTCCAATAAACGCCCCCCAAGTACGAAAAGTTACAAACTACATAGGAATAGCGACTTTTTTTGATAATTTTTTGGTTTCTCTTTTAAACTTTCTAAGCAATCATTTTTACGTTTTGTTGATTTGCCGTATACTTTTGAAGTACCGCCCCAAGTGTCCCTAAAAAGTTTCCCCAAAGTGTCCCCATATGGGAACTCTTTTTGATACTGAAATGCTTCGTTTTCTTTTTCTCTAGAGCTTTTTTAAAATTCTGTTACAGACGAAATTGTTTAAACTCTCCATATTAGATTTTCTCTTTGGGGACAGTTTGGGGAAACTTTTTGGGGACACTTGGGGGCGGTACTTCAAAAGTATAAATTGTTGAACAAAACTAAAGCTAGACTGCTTTTTTGTACCTGGAGGCACGACTAAATTTGTTCGATATGCAGATGTTTCCTGGAATCCTCCCTTTAAAAAATATATTCGACATCAATTGAAGATTGGATCCTATCAACGGCACCCGAATTGACGAAATCGAAAGCTGATGGATCTGGTGGTGGTAACCCCAAACCTCCTACAATGGATGTTTATCTGGAATGGATTGCTTCGTCTTGGGAAAAACTATCTTCAGAAATGATTGCCGAGTCATTTAAAATCTGCGGAGTAGGAATTGATCAGGATGGAAAAGAAGATCATCTTATTCACTGCTTCCGCTCAGATGGCCCTATACCTTCCGGGTTTAAAGCAATCAGAGTGCCCGATTGGATAAGGAAACCGGTAAAATTTTAGTCCCAAGCATCGAATCAGCAAATTTTCGTGAGCCTAGACAAGAGGCTGAATACGATTCTGATATATCAATTGCTTGAAATGCTGTTTTTCTTACATTCTTAGTTCTGTTAATTTTTGTTGTTGAAATAATTCGATGAAAGTGACTTATGATCTCGAATGCTTTATTTGCACTACTATTTTTTTTTATCGTTGAATCAACGTCAATTATGTGTCTAAGTACGCCTGCAGAGGGCTATCGAAAAATAAAAGGTAACTCTAGATCGATTGGAAAATCATCCTCACATCTATCATTCTCCAGCAGCCTAGTCTAGCTCCAGCAGCCTAGTCTAGCTCCAGCCTAGTCAGGCTCCAGCAGCCTAGTCTAGCTCCAGCCTAGTCAGGCTCCAGCAGCCTAGTCTAGCTCCAGCCTAGTCAGGCTCCAGCAGCCTAGTCTAGCTCCAGCAGCCTAGTCTGGCTCCAGTAGCCTAGTCTGGCTCCAGCCTAGTCTAGCTCCAGCAGCCTAGTCTAGCTCCAGCCTAGTCTACCGTAATCCTGATCTGTTTGACCTAAGCTGACCTAATCCATCCAATCACCAATCAATCTTCGTTATACTTATAATTTCGCTATCAACTACATATGATATGCTATTTGTGGCCTGTCCGTCGATTCCCAGTGTGTGTATTTCCGAAATTCCTTTTTCGATAAATCCCTTTCGAATCAATTCATCATCATCAAAAGCAAGAACAACAAAACCATGTACATTCTATCCCGTGAATTTGCTGTTCTATTTCAAAATTCATTTTACTATTCGTAAATTATTCCTTTTATACAAAAATTTCTTCTCTGATACATTCAAAAAAAAAGCTGAGAAATTTCTAATAGGCGCATACGTTTCTTTTTCGAGTTTCTTTTCATTTTTCTTTTCATTTTCTTTTCATTTTTTCATTTTTTTTATTTTTTGGGATTTTAAATGCAAATTTTTTTGTTTTGTTTACTATGTTTTATTTGTTTTATTCATCAAATGTGAGGGTGATTTGGGATTTCGACATTACTCTTTCGAAAATTGCAAACGTACACCTTCTGGCACATCGAATTCTTCATAGTTTTTTTGTTCTATAAACTGCTCGTTTTGCAAGAAGACTAGTGCACGAGAAGTAGTGCGTTTACGAGCACAAAATGAAGCTGAAGGCAAATTTACAGCTATAGAAAGATTCTAAGTGCTATAGAAAGAAGAGCTATAGAAAGATTCTCCATCTAACGCGTTTGGCACTGATTTCAAACTGTAAACTCATAATATAGTTTACAAGTATTGCTTTTATTTCATAAATTATATAGATCACAATCAAAGTCACCCTAAAATTGATGATTCTGTATATTTATGGAAAAAATGTATCTATTAAAATTGCTTTGTGTGAAAGAGACGATGCGGCAAAGTCTGCAATCATATTCATGCAATCATATTTCATTCGTTTGTATGTCCTTTCAGCCGGTCTAAACGTCCCAATTGATTCGCATTCACCCCCGTTTCCCAATTCTGAATTCTATATAGGCACTCGCTTGTCTCATCCCTTCCCTTCGCTCCTCTTCCCTCTCTTCCTTTTCCCTCATCTTCCCTCGTCTTCCCTCTCTTCGCTTCCCTTCCCTCCTTCCCCAATCCATTGATCCATGCGATTCTTTTCTTTGTTTCACAGCACTGTATATAGACATGGCTTTTGTGAAATAAAACTTTCAATTTCTCAAAGATAACCGAATACACAGTTACACAAATCTAACAGCAAATGACTGTACTCTACAGAATTCGATGGAATATCGTAAGCCGGTCTAAATCTCCACGATTGAGAGAATGTGATCAGATCCAGCTGTGATATCATACCAGCTAGTCAAGCTTACAGTAATCTCGATGACTACGGTGGAAAATATTTGGCACTGCAAGGCAGTAACGTCGGTAACTTGGTTACGGATTACGATAGTGTCTATAGTTATGGTTACTGTAGCATCTACTGGCTGAGTGACTCTTTAGCAAAGTCGATAAAGCAGCTAAGTTTATTACAAGTTGACGATCGGAAAACGTTTTCAAGTTATAAATTAACAGTTATCATTTATATAAATGCTTATGTGAAAGACAAATTCAATTCTTTTTTTCTGGAAACCCGCCAATTGCTACAAATTTGTGGAAAAGAGAAAAAGAAGAGAAAAAGGAGAGAAAGGGGAAAAAGGAGAAAAAGGAGAGAAAAAGCTCACTTGATAATCATTGATTCTCGGAAAGCTTTTTATTTCACAGAAAAAGAAACGGTTGAAGCAAACAGATACGAAGATTTACTTT